AAGCGCCCTAACGGAAACAACAAAACAACACCAGCAACAACCCGGTGAAATCTGAAGTTGGAGTTTGGTAAGTAGTATTGTTCCAACGTTGGTTGCTAAATTGTGACCAATGTACTGTGGTCAGCTATAATAATAAAAGGGTAATATGCTAATTAGACCAGACATCTTCCAGATGCCATTCCAGACGTCCTTCCTCACCAGGGCCAGAGGGAAGCCAGCCCAGGCCAGCCGGGGGAAGGGAAACCTACTCTTGCACGAATTTTCATGCATCAGGCCTCTAGTACTAGTATAAGAGGTTAACATGAGGGGAAGCTGAGTGAAAGGTATAAGGGAACACTCTTTATTCTTTTTGCACCTTTCTTTAAATCTAAAATTAAAAGTTTCGGGGAAAGAAGGGGGTCCCCCATGGAGGGATAGGAGGAGTTAGTTTCGTTAAGCATCCTAAGATAGTTGTATACTCTTAAGTTGGGGTATATTGCCAAAATGCAGCATAATATTCCAGCTACAAGTTATAAGTTGGGTCATTTTGAAGCTTGACCTGTTGGTTTGTTATAATGTTGAAATCTCTACATAGGAGTTAGTTCTCTGGAGTATATAATTAGTGTTGGTTTTTCCTGTAACAAAATAAAACATTAAGTTATGGCTCCTGCCCTGTCTTGCATTGTATTCTAGACTTGGTTGCTCAATGGTTTCTGTTAGCCACACAAAGCAATCAATGACAGTGTCATGCTTGTACCAAAGAATTAAATCTGATCCTTAATATCTAGTATTTCACCAGTAAGTCTACTGGTAAGAGATTATAGGAAGCCAGTCATAAAATTTGAAAATAAACTCTAGTCTCTCCTTAGCTATTTTAGGCTTTTATAGAAAGCAAGAACTCATTGCAAAACATTTTTACAAGTTTGAATGCTTATATTTGATCCAGGCAAAACATTTTTGCCTGGTTTAGAATTACTGGTAGCGTATTTTATTTATTTACTTATTTATTTTAGAGAGAATGGAAGGGAGGGTGAGAGACAGAGAGAGAAACATCCATGTGAGAGACACATTGATTGGTTGCCTCCAGCCCCAACTGGGGCTGACGCCTGCAACCAAGGTACTTGTCCTTGACCCTTTGACCGGAATCGAACCGGGGACCTTTCAGTCCCCAGGCCCATGCTCTAACTGCTGTGCCAAACTGGCTGGGGCACTGGTAGCTTATTTTAAAGCAAAGGAAAAACAATTATGAGTTCACTGTCTTCAGAACAGTTTGAGAAAATATGGTATAAAGGTGTTTTCAATTTCCTGTTATTTTAAATGTTATTATACGGAGTTATTATTAATATCATTTTGGTGGGAAAAACCTTAAAAACTGCCCCCAAATATTGATGATAAAGCACATCAAAGAACAAAATGTTTTGACATATTAAACTTCTGCTCTTCATGCAGCTGTAATTAAATTTTCTCTTTTTCTCCATGTCTTTTTTTTTTAATTGAGGTATTTATTTTCTTTTAAAATATAAAATTTCGGTTTTGGAAGAACCAAAAAAATTAAAAGATTATTTTATTATTATTAAAAATTGAATGGCGTGATGTGACAGTGGATTGGTGATCAGGGCTGGGCCCTGGGCTGGAATGCGGCCTGTGTGACCTTGGGCAAACGCTCAGCTGCTTTGGGCCTCTCTTCCCTCACCCGTCGAAGGGGAAGCACAGTGGTGAGGGCTGTGAGGAATCCACTGAACGCACAGGGTGTTCGGGGGAGTGTAAGTGCCCAGTGATGTAATGTTACCCGTTATTCCTATTATTTGTGCAAAATCTGTGATTGTAAAGTGGCCTTCAGGAGATTAGTCCCTGTCGGAACCCTCTTCTTTCAAGATCATCCTGATAAGGGGTTTATTGATCTGCTGGCCAGGCTAAGTCTTCTTGGGTCTTCCTTGCTGCAGAGTAAGCTAGTTCAAGGGCCAGCAACCACTTCTGTCAAGAGCCCCACGGCAAATATTTCCACCTTTGGGATCGATCCTGCTGCAGAATACTCCAGCTCGCCCCGGTAGCGTGAAAGCAGCGCTCCCTTATGTCCGTCTATGGATGGTTCTAGAGCTCACCCTCTTTCTGCTGACTCACCGACTCCTTGAATCAGATGCCTGAGATAGGGCTCGCGTGATCCAGGCCCTCGAGGAAAGGCCCCCTGCAGACAACCGAACTCAACCCCCAGAAGAGCAGGGGAGTCAGCAGACCAGGAGATCACCTGCTGCTTAGAAGCACCTCAAGACCAGAAGCTGTCCGTGCATTTTGCACTTGCAAAGCCCATGCCAGCCTCAGCCAAAGGCAGGTTGTGTGTCAGAAAGCGGGCTGGAGCGCCTTTGATGGACAAACAGTTCAAAACCGCACTCTTGACCGCCGCACCAGCAGCAGGACACCCAGGGCCCCACACAAGGCGGGAATGAGGAGGAAGGAACTAACGCTCCAGCCCGTGTGGAGCCAGGAAAGGCAAGAAGTTAAAAATCCGCCCTAACCTGCTCCGAGGGTGGAGGTGTGATTTCTGGGTCCTGCTCTCCATCTCTCTGGCCCCCTGATTCTCACCCAGGGCAATCCTATCCTCCAGGGAACATGTGCTATGTCTGGGGCCGTTTTTGGTTGTCCTGACTCATGGGAGGGGTGCTGGAATC